GAGCTACACCCTCAGGCCTTCTGTTTTTTATTCTGACACAATGTCTTGCTCCGTTGCCCAGGCTGGCCTTGAACTTGTGATCTTCCTGCCTCGGCCTCCAGAGCAGCTGGGATCACAGGTGCTGACTGCCTGGCGGCAACAAGACTTTGACACAAGCTCATGATTAAATTGGCTGGCGAGTCTCTTTTCATGCCTCTAAGAAAAAAACTGGGATGGAAGATTACCTAATGTGACTGACCTGGTACAGAGCCACTCTAGGGCACCGGGAGGAACCCAGCTGGAGGAGAAACAAAACAGAAAGGGAAACGGGGAGGGAGAACAAGAGAAGCAGGGAAGGCGCTCCACTCCACGGGAGGCAGGGTGAGGGCTGCAGCCCCAGTGCAGACTGCAACAGGAAGCTGCCATAGGTTGATGGCCCCGGGGTGGGGGGGTTGTGGGGGGGGAAGGGTGCTTGGGGACAGCTCTGTCCAAACCCATCAGAAAGGAAGTGGACTAAAATGAGTCTAGAAGAGCCCTACGTGCCCTTTACTCAGAACAATAAAATAAAAGCAAGCCAGGCTGGGGAGCGAAGCCTTATCTCTTTAACCTCTTCTTCAGGATTTTGGAACACAGACGGTGAGTACATCAGGCAAAGGTGGATTTGTGGGCTTCACCCACGACTGTCCTGGTATCAGGTGACAACCAAGTTTGCCAGCAGCCACAGACCTCTCCCAGGTAGGCACAGCCCTGCACAGCCGTCAGTGGACGCTGCCCTGGAGCCCACGCCTTGGTTTGGCTAAAGGAGGCTCGGCTGTGGAAGAGCCGGGAGTCTTATTTTAATTCAACACAACAACCTAAACATTTCGGAGCTGGCGGCTGCAGCTCGCGGCCTTGCGTAACCATTACATAACTGCCCACAGCTGACGGTCTGCAGACGGCGACCTTCCAACGACTTACACGGGTTTACTGTAATTACATTTGCAATAATAGAACTAGTTTTCTGCTGTAGCTGCATAATTGATCCGAAAAAAAAAACCCAGAACAAATATTTGTTTTATGTGAACCATGAAAAGCCCAAACAGGCTTCCACTTGTGAGGATTACAGAATGTGCTTTTTCTAGTCCTGTTAGTAATTAAAACAACAATTTAAAGGGAAGAAACAAATCTACTCTTTGTTGAAAAACCGAGTCCACACAGGGTTGCTACCCTCCAGGAGCTGGGGCAGAGGTGGAAACACAGGGCCAAGGCAACATGACGAAACGTGGGCCAATGCCCCTGTCCCCGGGCTTCACAGCCATGGTGAAGGGACACGGTCTTTATGTGGAGGTGGGCTGTCCTGGGAGCTGTCACCTGTTATGTCCACAGGACTCTTCCCATGTCACTCATCTCCTGGGCCCAGTGAGCTCCTACAGTTGTCCCAAGAGAGATGATGCTCCCCATGCTTGGATCTGGGGTCCCCTCAGTGGGCAAGCCTGTTAGCACAGGAACAGGAGATACTTCCAAATGACTCCTTTACTGGGGGAGGATGGCCCCTCCAATATGGGAACAGAGGGAAGTCTGCACTCCTGATGCTCCTCAAAGACCTCAAGCCCCCCTTCCTGCCCACAAGGCCCTGAGGACCCACCAGACGCCCTGGGGAAACTTCTGGTCTCCTATTCAAGATCCTCTGCCTGGGGTGCTCTTCCTGCCACCTCATGAATTACTCTGACCTTAGGACCTTGCTAAAGGTCATCTCCCAGACAGGTCCCAGCCGCCTGATCTCACCACAAGCCTGACTCCGACCTGGCCCAGTGGCTTTCTTTTTCTCCACATATTCTGATTTAGGTCCTATCTTCCTGTGCTGGGATAGACGCTCCCTGAGGGTGGAGAGTTGGATTTGCTCACTGTACCCTAACACAGCCAGCAGCAAGTGCTCAGTGACACATTTGTTAATCCATCAGAAAGCCCTAACCAGCCCAGAGGGCACCCAGTACTCAGTGACATCTCCAGAAGGGTCAGTCTTTCCCTCAGGCCACAGCCCTCTCCTGGTGGACGACCATCAGCAGTCTACACCACCGCAGCGCAGCATTGTGCAAACCCTGCTTAGTCTCGATATGTGCCTTTCAAATGCAAGCAACGTTCTCTCCTGAGATCCTGGCAAATCCTTAACACGGTGTCTGGGGCTTCATCTACTGGCATGCGCAGTGCTGGATTCCTCACCCAAGACACTTTCCCTGTGGGTAACCCACCAATTGGCACTGGGAGTGGTTTTGCAGGGACAGACACCTAGAGCGTGCTCTTGTCCCCGCATGCCTGAGCACAGTGTAGCTGCTCCAGGGCATTACTAGCACTTCCTGAGAATTGTGTATAACTGGGGCTAACTATGGATTCCTAAGCAAGAGCCCCACCCTGCATATGAATCTTCTACATAACTTCCCGATGAAGAAAAAGTCTTGGCTTTAAAAAAACCCCAAATCAAAAACCAAAAAAACCCAACTTGTGTACTTGGCTTCAAAAGGGCAGTCTGGTATAGGACGTGCACCCCCTAGTGGACAGAGAGTTCACAATCCTGACCAGAACTGTTTCCGTTCAGGTTTTATTCTTTTCTGATATAAGCCCTGTGTGTCCCACAGTCATCTTTAAGATCTGAAAAAAACTTTTTTCTTTTTAACACTGGGGAATAAACCCAGGTGCATTTTTCCAATTTTGAGACAGGGTCTTGCTAAATCGCTGAGGCTGGCCTCGAACCTTCCACCCTCCTACCTCAAGGATCCCAAGTCGCTGGGATTACAGGCATGCGCCACTGTGCCCGGCGTCCTATCTTTTTAAAACTCAGGACTCCTGCCCACTTCAGTCCTCTTATGTAACCCAGAAGAACAGTCACACTCAGGCCCCTCCAGGACACACTGCTGCCCATTTTAAACATGCATCTGTTCTCTGGGGTAAACTGGTCCTCAGCTGTGCCTAGCCAGCAGGAGCTAAAGATGGGTGAGGCCCTTCAAGGCTTGGGGTGTCTCGCACCTCCTCCAGGAGTCTGGGCATCCCTCCCACCACCCACCAGGGTGCCCAGCACGCCAGGTCACAGGAGCCCTTGACTATGAGAAAACTAATGAAGACTACTACCACGCTGGATGGTCGCAGAGAAAGGCAGGAAGCTCAAGGTGAAGTCATCTTGGGGTGGCACCTCAGCTGAGAGACCAGGACAGGGAGGATCACTAGCTGGCTACCTTGGGTCAGTCACTCCCCTCGTCCTTCTTCTCTCTTGCCACTTTGTACCCTAGGAAGTCTCAGCCCTACCAGAGGACTCAGGAGCTTGTGTCACCTGGAGGAAGCGACTCCCCAGGGTCAGCCGCGGGCTCCCTGCGGCCTGTGACAGCTGCACTGCCAGAGGCCCAGGCCCAGCGCCCCCAGGTAAAGGGCCAAACCCACTGCTCCAGGGAGTCGCAAGCAGACCTCATGTTCTGAGGACAGAGAGGCCTGCCCGGGGACACTGAGGGACCAACACTCTGCACACAGGGAAACACCCCCCAGCAGAGCGAGTCTCTAACTGGCCATCAAGATGGTCCATCCACACATACCAACACAGAGCCGCCGTGTCCAGCATGTATCAAAACACAACTCAGGCACCTGGAGACCTCAGCTTCCTGCCTCGGTGGCAATGTGGGCACCTTCCTGCTGCCACAGCACCCATCAAGGCCCCAGGCCTTTCCTGAGGCCGAGGGTCTCCCAGCTGAAAGCAGGAAGAAGACCAAAGGCAAGAACATGCCTCAGCCTCAGCGCAGGCCCCCGTCCCACCCAGACCCAGATCTGCTCACTTCTGGCCACGGGAGAACCCCCTGGGGAGTCATTGTCACCATCAGGGTTCCCACTTAAGTAACCAAGGTAGACAAGTGACTTGCTGAGGTCACACAGCAGCTGGTGTGGAGCTGGGATCTGAAGTCCTGTGTGGGAATGTGGATGCTTCTACCTCAGTGCCAAGGCCCTTTGTGCTCACCCAAACTAAGTGCTGCTGTGCTTGGGAACTGTCCACGTGGGCCTGCCTCTTCTGGGCAGCCACAGGTCCTTCAGGTTACTGGTCAGCTGCCATGAATCCACCAAAGGTTTATCTCATGGTATTGAAATTCTATTCCCGGCCCTGGGGGAGACCAGCCGGGACAGATTCTCCAGAGCTGAGGTGGACAAGACAGGGGCAGGCGAGGGACCATGAAATCAACAGGTCAACAAGCATGTCCAGAAAAAGGAAATGTAAGCAGGGGGACACGCAGGTACCTTGCACCTAACAGTGCAAGGTCAGAGGTCCATACAAACCACCTTCGTTGCTGTGACGGCCCACCATGGGAACAGCCCAAATGGCCAGGTGTCTGCCCCACATGCAAAACCAGAAACATGCAGTCAGAACACGGGCTGGCAGAGGTGCGTCGTTCACATAGCAGACAACCAAGCATTCCCCCCATCCCTATGACAATGTTCCTCGGATGAGTGTGACTGGGGACAGGAGTGGAGAGGAATGAAGTTGTAGGGACAGGGGAGGCAGCACAGAGGGTGCAGGACCACGCACTGCCACTGCCCTTGAGCCCTAGATGTCAGGAGCACCAGCCAACACACCAAGCTCCAGGGACACTGACCAGCAAGGGAGCTGCTCGTCCCTACAGAAGGCTAGCAGTGCCCTAGGTGACATCCAGGTCCTGGAGAGTGAGCTAAAGAGGCCCACGCAGGGTAGAAGGTACCTGAGGAACAAGGGGCAGTAGCCATGATGCGGCACGCTGTGACCAGGTCTGAGAGGATCACCAAGATGCTGACCTACCCAGGTGCGCAGGAGCCACCCTTCCCACAGATGCCAAGGACTGTGGTTGTCGCCCTACATGCATCGTCACTTCTCAACAGTTTGTGTTCCTGTAGGATGAAGTGTCCCCAGCACCCACCCATGTGTCCCAAGGACTTGTGCCGGTGACGAGTGTAAGTCACTCTCTGGAACAGCTGGAAACAGCGCGCCAAGTGCGCACCCCAGCCGCAAGGAAACCACAAGAGGTGAAGAGACATCCTAGGGTTGCACTTGGTTTATTTGGATGCACGTGGAGCCGTCTCCAGCAGGTCTTCACCACACACGTGGGTCAGAATGGAACCAAACCAACCTGGAGGCCCTAACCCACAAGAGCCCATGCCAGCACAGAACCTGCAGGACCACCGTCAGGAGCACCAGCCAACACAGCAAGCTCCAGGGACGCTGACCTGCAAGGAAGGACACCTCATTATTCCTGTTCTACTTCACCAAGTGTGAGCACTGAAAACTGTTGCACCACGAAGTGCCCTCGACATTGGCAGTCCACCTCCACCCGGATGCCACGCAGAAGATGCCTTGGGGTTCTGCCCTGTGAAGACCCTGCTTCCACCCCCCCCCACCCCCCAGGGCTTCAGGCGCTGGCCGACCCAGCACTGGTCACATACCACCAAAGCGATCACAGTGACGTCCTGCCCCATCCTGCTTAATCAGGCTTTAACTGTTGCTTTCATTCCTCAGAAACCTGCTGGTTAAGCCACAATCAGCCCGAATCTGCCAGGCAAAGTCCCCCACCATACATTCCCACTTCACTTTCCTTCCTCTCCATGGCCATGCATCTCCCAAGCCCAGCCCACGCACCGCTGCTCCCCATGTCCCCTCGAGCCCTCTCTCAGTTCCTGCCTTTGTTATGTTGCCTCAGCTAAAAACAGCCTTGGCCTCCTCGGGGTCTCACACCGATGAGTCCCTTTAAAAGCGCCCCCTCCTGTTGTCCCATGCACTTACTGATGTCTACCCTCAACCCAGGGCTCGTGCATACTGAGCAGGTGCTCCTCCACCGAGCTGTGCGCCCGGCCAGGACCACGCTTTTCTTTATGTCCTGTCCAAGGCATGGGACACAATGCCATGCCGAAAATGTCAACTCACAATCTGTGCTGACAACAAAGCAGGCAGCCAGGGGAAGGAAGAGGCTGCTTCAATACTAAAAATCCCACCAACAGTTACTGCCTGGAGCTGGACGCAGTCTCTGACTCTAGCCAGGAGGGGACAGGGTGCAGGAGACATAGGAACATCTGTGTGCCCTGAGCCCCAATAAGGGGTCGCTGCTCCCCGCCAAAGTGGGCTAGAGCTACCCTATCCAACATGGCGGCCATCAGGTAGGTACACTGTACCAGTCCCTCAGTCACACCAGCCACACAGCAAATGCTTAATCAGTCCTGTGGCTAGTGGCCACTCTAGACAGCCTAGAGAATGTCCATCATTGTAGGAAGTCCTGTTTAACAGCACTGTTCTGGATCCAGTGATCTTTTGAAATCAGAGATCTATGCACACCTTCCTTTTGTTCGAAACACCTAACTGTATCCCAGTATTTCTAGGACAAAGACCAAGACCCTCACCAAGCCACAAGGCCCTGTGTGGCCTGGTTCTTCTGCACCTTTTTGGCTTTGCATGCTTTCTGAGCTAGGATGGTTTTCTTCCAGTTCCTCCTCCCTAGGCCACTGGGCCTTTGCACACACTAATACCAGGCTTTCTGAGCAAACGCCTACTTATCCAGAGTCCAGCTCAAGTCTCATCCTCGGAAAAGCTTTCCAGCCTCCATCTCCCTGAGATATACTGTGCTTCCCTTCAGAACATTCACCTCTGCTTAAATTAACCTCCTCTTTTTTTTCTGCCCTGGTACTGGAGAACGAACCCAGGGATGCCCGACCACTGAGCTACATGCAGTCTTTTTTTGTTCTTTGAGGCAGGATCTTCCCAAATTGCCGAGGCTGGCCGTGAGCTTCCAATCCTCCTGTCTCAACCTCCCAGTAACTGGGACTATGCGTGTGTGCCTCGGTGCCCCGGGAATGGCACCCTCCTAAGTGTGGTAATTTAACTTTATCTCCCCAGCTGTCCGGAAACTCCCCGGGAAAAGCCTTGGCTGTTTCACCTGTGTATCCCCAACGCTTCCCATGGCGCCTGGTCCAATACCACTAAGTTCTTCCGCCTGTTTGCAGTATCATACATGACCACCAAGCGGCTGCCAGAGTGCTCACACCTGTTACTGCAAAATTCCGACCCGGGAGGGCTCCCGGGACTTACTCTAGGTCAGGGTGGGGCTGCCTGGTACGGGCTGCACAGGCCACTGGGCAGGTGCGACAACACAGGCGCCGTTCCCCGGACCACGGCCCTGCGGACGCTGGACCCCCGCTGGACATACCTGGTCACCCACACGGAGGTCACTTTCTGGAGGGAGGCGTCTCTGCACGCCTTCACCCCACCGCCGGGGCCTGGAAGTTCCTCCCTTCCCGCGGAAACCCTGCGAAGAGAGCAAAGCAGCGGGGTTTAAGAGGACAGTCGCGCGCGGCTCACCCACCGCGGCCGCCTGCGCCGCCCCGGGCCCACTTCCGGGGGCATCGTCCAGGCCCCCGCGGCTCAGCGGGGCGCGGCTCCTCGGTTCCGTTCCGCGGGAAGGCGTGGGTGTCAGGGGCCCCGCGAGGAAGGCCTGGGGTCTCAGGGACCCCGGGCTGGTGGCAGAGGGTGCCGCGGCCAGTAGGAGGCGACAGCGGGTCTCCTCTGCACGTGGCTTTACTCGCTTCCCACCCCGCTGGACGGAAGCAGCTCTGCAGACGCACTTCCGGCAGGAAGTGAGGATTTACCATCGAGACAGCAGCTAGAGGGTCGCCCTCGATTTTGAATTTGGGTCCTCCAAGGCGATCTTAAAGGGGCCGTGGCGCGAGATACGGTTAAAGGGGATGAGAGCCTTGGCGGGGGGGAAGGGCCCCAGTAGCAGGGAAGCAGAAGGAACCGCTGTTTCCTAACATCCTGCAAGGGTCTGGAGCCTTGCGTGCAGTGGCCCTCCTCTCCTCTTGCAATCATCTTATTTTTTTTTTTTACAGATGAGAAATCTGGGGCTCCAGAGAAACCAAGTTACTTTCCCAAGCGCAGCCAGCTGGGAAGTGGCAGAGTCGGGTTCAAACCCAAGCCGTTCTGCTCCGAATGCAAAGCTCTTTTCATCACCCCAGGTGAAAGGAAGGACATGGGAGGAGAGGGGCTACGGGAAGATGAAGGCCGCCTTTGCCTAGGACGTCCGCAGCAAAGGTCGTTCTACCAAAAGATGAGCACGTGATCAGTGCCAGGCGGTTCAGGGTCGAGGGAAGAGCTGGATCTGGGAAAATGACAGAACCTGGGAGACAGAGATCCCAACCCTCCTTGGCTTGAGCCCTCACCAGCCTCTGCCCCAGCACCAGGAGTCACAAGCCAACAGTCTGGCTCGGCTTGCAGGAGGGGCTTGTTTGACCCCCTCAGCGTTTGGGTTTGTTTTATGCCTGAGACAGGGACTGTCTCTGTTAGCCACAGGCTCCACCACTCCCTATTGTGCACCCACTGTTTTCTACTTGTGCAGTATCTCCGTACATGGGAGCCATTTGACTTTGTGACTTGGGGAGCCTGGACTAAAACCCCCAGGCTGTTAAGTGGCATTAAAGCCCTTTAGACAGTGCCAGGCTTCCATCATCCCAGTGTCTCCTCAGGGTGTGAAATTCCACAGAGAACTGGATGGTCCAGCCTGGGGCCATGTGACCTCTGTGGCTGAAGGCATGGTACAGTAGAAACTTAGCCAACATGCTCGGACTGGAATCAGCTTTACCCCAAAGTTAGATAAAGCAGGGAGTTAAAAATAATAACAGATGTCATATACTTTTTTTTTTTTTTTTTTGTGGAGCTGGAGATTGAACCCAGCTCTACCACTGAACCATACCACCAACCCTTAGGCCTTTTATTTTTAGCGTGAGTCTCCCTTTCTGGGGAGGTGTTGAAGACATGTAAAATAATGTGAGAGAAAATTCATCAGGATGATTATGACCTCCCCTCTGTAGATTGTCCTGCGCAAAGATAACTCAACAATTAAATTTTCAGTTCAACTTAGGTTTTCGGTGTTGGGATGGGGGACAATGATTCTGTTTTGTTTTACCCTATTTCACGAGTTTACTAATCGAATCATGTGATTATAGAATGATAATCAACTGGCACAAACAGGTTTGGGAACAGTGCTAGTGGCTCTCTGCTGGCATTGGGCTCACGTGGTTGGAGAAGCTGGGTTCCTCTTAGAGAAGAGTCCCCCAACTTGTGCATTCCTTGAACCCCAGATTCCAACCAGTGAGCTGCACAGAAGGAATGAGGCCTTCATCCAGCAGGAGAGAGAGCTTTGCGGGACTATTTGGTTTTTGTGTTTTTGAGACGAGGTCTCTCTGTTGCCCAGGCTGGCCTTGAACTCCTGGGCTCAGGTGATCCTCCCGCCTCAGCCTCTTGAGTACCTGGAACTACTGTTTTTGCCCTTGGAGCTGGAGCGGGATGGTCCCTGGTTAGCTGGGTGAAGCTTCCAGGAGCAGGAAAGTAGTCCTGGGCGGGAGAAGGCAGGGGGCTGTACCGTGTCCCCACCTGTGCCCCCTGGTGGTGGCTCCTGGAGACGCTGAACACAGGTCAGCAGCTTCTGCTCCTTCCCTGCGACCTCTGAGCAGAGGCCAAACCATTGCTCCTCCTCCTCCTTTCCCATTTCTGCTTCATTAGGAAAAATCGAAACCCAGCAAATCACATTTCACCCCAGAGAGTGAATAACCCGTGGAGAGGCGCAGAGAGGGAATTCACGGGCCTTTCCCGGCCCAGCAGGGAATACTGCCCACGTCACTGTCTCTGTCCCCACTTTGACACCTCTCTGACTGCCCCTGCCTCAGACACCCCATGGCTCCTCTCAGCAGAGGCCCGGCCTTGCAGGCCCCCCGGGTAGCAGGTGACGCCCTCCCTGACCCTCGATGTCGGCTCTCTGCTGTGCTTACCCCCCATGTCCTGGGCTCTCCAAATGCCACGTGGTCCCTCCGAAGCATCCACCGGGGAACTCACACGCGGAGGGACAGTGGATGGTGTCCGCCTGGTGTGTCTGCAGCGGGGTGGGGCGCAGGGTTTATTTAAGAGTCTGGGGAGTTGCGCTGGGGCCGGGGCCGGTTCCTATGTGGTTGACAAGGCGGTTGGTCTGTTTCGAACAGTGACCTAAGCGAGGTTCACCTGGGCTCAAGCCTGCAGCGGGGACAGGCCCAGGCCGGGAGGCGGAAGCCCTCTGTGTCTCCATCAGGACACAGTCACAGAGCTGGGGAACCGGGTCCCTGCATGCACGGTCCCTGTTGCCAAGGAGGGGAGAGTGGCTGTGGGAGGTGACGGTGTTTGTGGGGCCGGAGGGCGAGGGCCAGGTGGCAGCTGGAGTCTGGACTCATGTCCCAAGTGCCTTTCTTTTCAAAGGGTCACCTCTGAGCACTGGGCACATCTACACCTGGAACAGGAACTTGTCAGCCCGGGTGCCATCAGAGGACAGTTGGCTCTGATTACATGTGGGAACAGGGACGCCTCTTGCACCAGTCATGAAGGAGGGAGGAGGAGCAGCCCCCAGAGCGGCCAGCCGAGTGGCCACTCTGCTCCTCGTCATGAGGCCTCTCTACCCCTGTGAGTCGAGTGGCTCAGGGAGCCCAGGAGGGCTCGGCAAAGCCCTGTCACCCTGAGTGGCTCTGAGTGTCCTCCCTCGTCAGGGGTTGAAAGGCCTGAACACACCCAGGTCCAGCAGGGGTCAGCAAGCCCTGAATTCTGATACCCTGAAGGGAGGACGGAGGGCCTGGCCTCAGGGTCACTGCTTTCTCGAACTCTGCCTCATTTTCCCCTCAAAGCAACCTTAGGAATTAGCTGTTGGTGTGCGTGTCTGTCACAGGCTCAGAAAGGCCAGGTGACTTACCTGAGGTCACCTGAGAACAAGAAACAGGTGAAGGTTTTCAGCATCCAGCGCCCTGACTGCCCATAGTCTGCTGGACTCAGTGATGTCCTCCATGTCACCACGGAGGCCAAACTCCAAATCAGCTGTAGCTCCCTGTCCCGATCCCCATCCCTCCACCCCCTCCCTCAATTCTCTCCTCCTTGGGGCCCATCAACGTGCTCAGGGTTTTGGCTGCCTGAGAAGTGGACAGTTCCAGCAATGGCCAGTCCCCGGGCACCCAGACCGTTTCCCTGAGGCTGCTCTTCTGGAGCCCTGGATTATAAAAGACCCTGAAGCCAGACACCACCCAGGGAAGTTCTGATTTTATGGTCTGGGGTGTGGCTCGGGAATCAGGATGTTGGGAAGCACTGTGGCCATCCAGGGTACAGGATTAGAGGCACCCGGGAAGGTCTGCAGCTATGAACAGCCAAACAGTCCCCATCGGGAGAAGTTGTCCAAGACTTGTGAGTGGGCAAGAGAGACTGGGCAGGCTTGCAGTGGAGGGCAGGGTTTCAGGGGCTGCCTGTTTATAAGGGTTTGTACCTTTGAAAGTCTATTGATGAGGCTCTTTGTGGCTCAGGTAGGGGAGGAGCTGAACCGTAGGCCAGGGGGCTGATTCTGGTGCATGACACTGCGGATGGGTCCCTCCCCACAGAGGCACAACAGGCTTCCTTTTTCTTTTTTTAACTGGGTCTCTTGAAGTTGCCCAGGCTGCCCTCAAACTTGCCTAAGCCTCCTGAGTAGCTAAGGTCACAGCTGCATCCAGCTTACAGTGGTTTCTGTCCTCTAAAAAGATGGATTTGATACTTTTATTTATATTTTTAGTTGTAAATGGACACAATACCTTTATTTATTTATTTTTACGTGGTGCTGAGGATCAAACCCAGGGCCTCACACATGCTAGACAAGTGCTCTACCACTGAGCTACAACCGCAGTCCCTCCCTAGAAAAGGTGACTTTAAATGCAACTTGATTGCCCTGTGGGATACTGACCAGATTTACTTTATTAACAATTTTGTTCTAGCATCCTTTCTTTTCTTTTTTTTTAAATATTGCTCAAGGAAAAGGATGATATAAAGCTATATATCTGTATATATATATATATATATATATATATATATATATATATATATATATATCATAATCACAAATAAAAAAAACCAAAGTTTATATTTAAAAAAACTGCAAAGAAATATACCAAAATAGCATAAGTGGTCATGTCTAAGGTTAGAATTATAAAAGATTTTAAAATACATTTTTATGTACCTTTTCTTATTTTCTAAATAAAATCTGACGCTGGATTTGATCCCCCACATACACACATGAAGACTATACGAGGGATGGAATGTCCCAGCCTTCTTTCCACCAGGCGACCAGCACACTGGTTTCATTGAAGAGGTTCATGGCCTAAAAGTTAACTAGTGAGATCAAAATAAAACACACAGACTCAGTTACCTTTTTCTATGACCAGGTCCGAGACAGCTCTCCCCTCTCTGGCTCACACCTCGAACCACCCGGTGGGGCAGCAAGGCTTACTCAGGGCTAGCAGGAGAGAGAGAGAGAGAGCACGCCAGGGAGTGGCCTTTTATTGGGGAACAAGAAATTCAGGGGAGAATTCCATCCAATGAAGGTCGAG